TCATTGGACCGTGTCAGTAAAAGGAGTGATTGCCAAATATGCATGCCACTGGGAATCTATGGGAAGTGAGAGAAGAAGTAAATTGGCCTATGCCATAGGTTATTAGAAACATAAAAAGACTGCAGTCTCCCAAAAAACTTAACTGTAGTTTCAGAACAAAGTACAAAGACCCACCAAATGGTAACTGTCTACAAACCATCATAATATACTAAGCTACTCGGAAATTGAATCATTTAATAGCCAATCATGTAGATATCCTTGCACCCTCAAAAATTATAAAGTGTCTCAAAATCAGAAACTAAATCGCACCAAAAATAACATGAAAAATAATATCAGACTGAAAACAAGTAAAATTTCTTACAGGAGATAATAGTAATTATTATCAATTATGCGGACCAAAAAGATTAAAACACAATTCTAAATTCAGACATAAAAAAAAAATCTGCTACTTCAGCTTCTACTGCATCAAAACAAATAAAATAAACATTAATAATATTTCAAATACCAATATTTAGAAGAGAGTGAATTATGCAAAAAGAAAAAAACAACAACAATAATAATAATAATAATAATAATAATAATAATAATAATAAAGAGGCTCAAGGTGATGACTTTACAAAAGAAGTATATTTCCGTAGACATGCACCGGCCTATATATGGAATCCAAGCAATATGAAGGATTGATTCTAGAGCTGTGAAATGTTACATACATTAATTCCCACCGTTCTTATTAATAACTTCATTGTTTGTTTTTCAGATAAGCTGACATCTGATTGGTCAAAGAAGATTTCAAAAGTAACAAGTAACGATTTCTCTTGAAAACGGTCAAGATTTAGCATCGGGGTATTATCAAGAAACTGCAAAAAAAAAAAAAAGGTTTAGCCTCTGAAGACATTCATACTGACATGGTTACGACATCAGAGTATGATGCACTACCTTTATCAATACTGTAAAAGTGGGCAGTTGAATTTAAGAGTGAAAGGGAGAGTTTTGAAAGTGACTGGACATCCTTCAACTGACATCACATAGGAAAACATTGATCGCGTTCACGACATGGTTGTGGATGACAGGTAATTGACTATAAACCAAATAACCAATGCTATTAGTATATGCGATGAAATAGTTGAGAATATTCTGAACAATGAACTTGGCAGGACGTGGCGCAGTAACATTTTGTCAAATTCCTTACAATTCGTAATATAAAATCGTATTGAGTTTCAATAAACATAGGCATGCATTTCATACATTTCCAAAGAAGTTTTCAGGTTTTCTATTTAGAGTCTTTGTACTATATCCATTTTGATTATTCGATTTTGAATGTTTTGTCAAAAATGCCATTTAATTCACTGCAGACAAAGAAGAGGGAACAATTGTTATGATGCTGACCAATAATCGTTTCCGTATGTTCATCTGGAATCAATTCCTGTTTCATCTGGACCTCATTTTCATTTTTGTAGTTTCATCTGGATCTAATTTTCATTTTTTAGTTTCATCTGGGCCCTATTTTCATTTTTGTAGTTTCATCTGGACCTCATTTTCATTTTTTAGTTTCATCTGGACCTCATTTTCATTTTTGTAATTTCATCTGGACTTCATTTTCATTTTGCAGTTTCATCTGGACATTATTTTCATTTTTGTAGTTTTATTTGGACCTCAATTTAATTTTTATACTTTCGTCTGGACCTCATTTTCATTTTTGGATTTCCATCTGGACCTCAACTTCATTTTTCGAGTTTCATCTGGAGGTAATTTTCATTTCTGAATTTTCATCTGGACTTCATTTTCATTTTTGGAGTTTCATCTGGATATCATTTTCATTCACGTAAGCTAATGTGTAACCCATTTTCCTTTCTGTAATTTAATCTGGACCCCATTTTTCTGACTTGTAACTATTACTGACGACGTGTAAACGATGTGCAGGTGTTAAATGATTGACTAAGCAGGGAGGGTTTGAGCAAATATAAGTAGAACTGCTCAAGTTTCTCTGAGACTATGATGGTTTTAATTTTAGTACTCCCACGTTTGATGGTATGCCAGCCATGCATTTGTACATGTAGATACTGCCAGAAGTATCTAATTACCTTTCCCCCCCCCTTTTTGGCAACATTTCAGTCATCAATAATTGATCCAGGCCCTCTTCCTCAAAGTCCAATCGGAAATGTGCAGCTTGCATCGATCTAGTTATTCAGTATCTATGAGAAACAAGAATAGCTCATTAACCATTGCCAAACTGCATGGTGCGCAACAGTGAATAAGTGATGGCGCCGTGATATAGTGCATTAAATGGATATCGGCTGTTTTTTATTTTCAAGGTGACAATGTTATTTTGAGGTACATAAATGTCTGTAATTTCTGAACAAAAGATCCTTTTTCTTTTATTTTAAAATATGGAATCGTGTAATCGTCTAAATGATATATTGCTAGGATATAATCACAAATGAATAAATATTCTTGAAAACAAACGATTTGGCTAAAAATAGTTCCATGTTGTCGAAGTATTTATGTCTGTCTCAAAAGATTTTAAGAGTTTCTATGGAAAAAAATAGGTATTTCGACGCTAAATTCACTTTTACGATATTTTGTATAAGCGTGGAAAAAATCGAAAAAAAAATATATCTATATATTATAGAAGAAAAAAAGTAATCATGTTTTGAAAGGCGTAGAATTTTTGAGGAGAACAAGCAGACATTTGATGTGTGAGTGAAGATAAAATATTTGGAAAATCTAACGTAACACGAAGACGGAAAAATAAAGTAAAAATATTTGCATTCAAACATTTTTACAGATGCACACGCATAGATGCACAAAGTCGATTGAACTAACACACACAGAGAAACAACATATGTGGTAAACACATACACAAACAAACACATTATGTAAACACAGAAACACACAAAGTGATGAGACGAAAACAACACATACACACATAATTTGAACAGACTAAAGAACTATACGAAAATACCTCTTTCCAAAAGTATTGCTTTTTTAAGCATTTCACCCCAAGCAAGGCGGGAGTGCCACGAGCACGCAATGGGGTTACAGAGAGTGGGAGCAAGAGTAAAGATGAAAGGATAAAGAGAAGGCTGGGGGTAGGGATCAAGGCATCAGAAGATGTCGATTTAAATTAAATTATTTGGATATTTAAAGATTATAGCGATCAGGGAAGTAAATATGAAGAAGAGAGTTCTACTGTCGGGAACTGCGAGAAAAGAAGCTGTTGCAGTAAAAGAGGCGGTTACATTTAACTATTTCGACAGTGAAAGGTTGGGACCGAAATACCAACCTAGTAGCACGTTTAAATTCCTGCAGATGGGCTACCAGTGAATGTAGCTTGTCAGAGAAATTGTCATGAAAATATTTGTAGAAAAGACAGACGGAAGCCACAGCACGTCTCTGAGAAATATATTGTTAGAATTGATTCCGATTAAAATTTAGATCCTTTTCGAGTTAACACAAAGTTACTAATTATGAGGAGGTCTATATAAATTTGTCATGAGTCCTCTAACAAATACAGGAATTTTACATATATATGAATTATATAATGTGCTACAGAAATACGTCCTTCATTTTAAACTTTCACCTTTATAGGGCTAATGAAATTAGGCAAGTAACAATGATGTTGCCGTCTTGCTAATGTCTTACCATTTTTCGCAGATATCATCAGTTACCATCATGGGTTGGACAAGGTGCTAAGCGTTCGTTTGGGGTTGATTTTTTTTTTTTTTTAAGCTGGTGAATCTGTAATTACAACACAGAGAACGTTTTGTGCTCATTTTATATGTTACGTCGGAATGATGCCGTTCCAGAATCGATAATACTCTAGGGTTGAAAATTTCAAGGCCACAGATTCTGCGCTGAATAGAAAACCAACAGGAAGATCTCAAAGCGCTCAAACACCAAAAATGTCTGTAGAAATCGTCTATAAAAGTTTATAACGAATAGATGCTACCATTTAGAAGATGACATTTTAAAACCAAATGAAAAACAAAACAAAAACGATAGTCCTCTTTTCTAAACAACAGTAGAATATTGTTTTTAATAGCAGCTACCTTGGCTTTTTGCCAGCCTTTCAAATGTGGGAGGTATTTCTGCCGCGCGTTGTATATATTTATATAGAAAACCAGGTGTAATAGCACTCAGAATAGGAGAATAATATACATTCTTCAATGAACTATTAACGTTTTACCATTAGTGAAGTGACTGACCATATATTTTTTTGAGTATACGCAATGGCATTTGTTAACCAGTTTTTTTGCGGAAGACATTTTGTTTTTTCATTTTTGAACTTTGAGATATTTTACAGTGCGGGAATCTATGTGATAGATTGTAGTAGAGATATTATTGTAGTTGCATTTTTTTTTCGTCTGCAGCAGGAGATAGTGTCAAGATAGTATTATGATGAATCCGATGCGACAGAAGTCTCTCCTGAGGGGAAATGAGACACGTCTTGACGCTACTGTATCCTGTGTGTTAAAAACGAAATAAATGAGAGAGTGGTGTATTCATGCCCTTTCTTTTCATATTCCTTTCCATAGAGACACTTAGCAGTTACGAAGAGCCCTGGGAAACAAGTTTCGGGTAATTGCACGTTTTTTTGTTTCAGAGAGGATTGAATATTTCCCCGGTAACGCTGTAAAAAAACAAGAAGTCAAGCACAGAAATGGCATGTATGCGTAATATTCTCGCCACCAAATCTTCGCACTTCGATCATTTTTCAACGATTTAATTTCCCCAAAAGTCAAAGACATGAAAATTATTTAAAATTACGAGTTCCGTGTACTGAATATGTAGTAGCAGTGGGTGTGTCATGGCGCATAATAACCTGACACTGTCCATCTCTTTTTTATGTCTTCAACTTCTGATGTTGCAAAATCACATCTATCATTTTCAAATGGTTACATATGAGAATAGGCGTTGTTCTGAGATATGACGTAATAATCTTGGATATTAGTTATGACGTAGGAATCGTTGATCTGAGTTATGGCGTAAGAGGCGTCGATCTAAGTTATGACGTAAGATGCATTGATCTGTGCTATGACGTAAGAATCATTGGTCTGAGTTATGATGAAAGAGACGTTTATCTGAGTTATGAGGTAGCAATCACTGATCTGTGTTATGACGTAAGAATCGTTGATCTGAGTTATGACGAAAGAGGCGTTCATGTGTGTTATGACGTAGGAATCACTGATCTGTGTTATGACGTAAGAATCGTTGGTCTGAGTTATGACGAAAAAGACGTTCATCTGAGTTATGAGGTAGCAATCACTGATCTGTGTTATGACGTAAGAATCGTTGATCTGAGTTATGACGAAAGAGGCGTTCATGTGTGTTATGACGTAGGAATCACTGATCTGTGCTATGACGTAAGAATCGTTGGTCTGAGTTATGACGAAAGAGACGTTCATCTGAGTTATGAGGTAGCAATCACTGATCTGTGTTATGACGTAAGAATCGTTGATCTGAGTTATGACGAAAGAGGCGTTCATGTGTGTTATGACGTAGGAATCACTGATCTGTGCTATGACGTAAGAATCGTTGGTCTGAGTTATGACGAAAAAGACGTTCATCTGAGTTATGAGGTAGCAATCACTGATCTGTGCTATGACGTAAGAATCGTTGATCTGAGTTATGACGAAAGAGGCGTTCATGTGTGTTATGACGTAGGAATCACTGATCTGTGCTATGACGTAAGAATCATTGGTCTGAGTTATGACGAAAGAGACGTTCATCTGAGTTATGAGGTAGCAATCACTGATCTGTGTTATGACGTAAGAATCGTTGATCTGAGTTATGACGAAAGAGGCGTTCATGCGTGTTATGACGTAGGAATCACTGATCTGTGCTATGACGTAAGAATCGTTGGTCTGAGTTATGACGAAAAAGACGTTCATCTGAGTTATGAGGTAGCAATCACTGACCTGTGTTATGACGTAAGAATCGTTGATCTGAGTTATGACGAAAGAGGCGTTCATGTGTGTTATGACGTAGGAATCACTGATCTGTGCTATGACGTAAGAATCATTGGTCTGAGTTATGACGAAAGAGACGTTCATCTGAGTTATGAGGTAGCAATCACTGATCTGTGTTATGGCGTAAGAATCGTTGATCTGAGTTATGACGAAAGAGGCGTTCATGTGTGTTATGACGTAGGAATCACTGATCTGTGCTATGACGTAAGAATCATTGGTCTGAGTTATGACGAAAGAGACGTTCATCTGAGTTATGAGGTAGCAATCACTGATCTGTGTTATGACGTAAGAATCGTTGATCTGAGTTATGACGAAAGAGACGTTCATCTGAGTTATGAGGTAGCAATCACTGATCTGTGTTATGACGTAAGAATCGTTGTTCTGAGTTATGACGAAAGAGGCGTTCATGTGTGTTATGACGTAGGAATCACTGATTTGTGCTATGACGTAAGAATCATTGGTCTGAGTTATGATGAAAGAGACGTTCATCTGAGTTATGAGGTAGCAATCACTGATCTGTGTTATGACGTAAGAATCGTTGATCTGAGTTATGACGAAAGAGGCGTTCATGTGTGTTATGACGTAGGAATCACTGATCTCTGCTATGACGTAAGAATCATTGGTCTGAGTTATGACGAAAGAGACGTTCATCTGAGTTATGAGGTAGCAATCACTGATCTGTGTTATGACGTAAGAATCGTTGATCTGAGTTATGACGAAAGAGACGTTCATGTGTGTTATGACGTAGGAATCACTGATCTGTGCTATGACGTAAGAATCATTGGTCTGAGTTATGACGAAAGAGACGTTCATCTGAGTTATGACGTAGGAATCACTGATCTGTGTTATGACGTAAGAATCGTTGATCTGAGTTATGACGAAAGAGGCGTTCATGTGTGTTATGACGTAGGAATCACTGATCTGTGCTATGACGTAAGAATCATTGGTCTGAGTTATGACGAAAGAGACGTTCATCTGTGTTATGACGTAGGAATCACTGATCTGTGTTATGACGTAAGAATCGTTGATCTGAGTTATGACGAAAGAGGCGTCCATGTGTGTTATGACGTAGGAATCACTGATCTGTGTTATGACGTAAGAATCGTTGATCTGAGTTATGACGAAAGAGACGTTCATCTGAGTTATGACGTAGGAATCGATCTGAGCTGTGCCATAGGAATTGTTGATCTGAAATCATGACGTAGGAATTGGAATTGTCAGTGATGCCATTGGTCATACATAACCTCTAACAGTACAGTGATGCCATTCGTCATACATAACCTCTAACAGTATAAATCTTTTCTCGGGGCCTGTCGCCAATATTAGTTTTTCTTTCCTCTCTAGGACTGCTATTAAAGCTATTGGGCCATATCGTTTCTGGGCTTATATCAATAAACATTCACTGTTCTCCTGTAAATATTTAAAGCATGTTATCTTTCCAAAATAGAATTTCTCTGAGGGTTTATGTTCAAAGATATTTTGAAAGTTGATTATATACGTATAATGTATACGTACACTATTTGCATTATTCGGACTATTGTCATCATCTTTGTTCCAATATTTATTACAAGGTTTCGGCCGTTGTACGCTCCGGCCTTCTTCACGTAGTTGGAATGTCGGACTGAACCCTTTATTTCGCTCACTTTCTGTTCTCGTTCCACGCGTCATGTTTAATGGATATCACTTATCAGTTATCTCCTGTTAATTCCCCTCTCCAAGTTCTCCACCACTTTAACCAGGTATTGAACTCACACTCCTTGGGTCCTGTCACTGGATCTAACCAACGTCTTTATCCACTGTGCCATGTGTCCTTGAGTTTTTCTTTGATACCGCTGTTATTTTAACTACCTTCACTCCTTTGCAATGTTTGTTGTTTTAAGAAGTGATCAGTAGAATTGTAATAAAACGTAAACATATGATAAAAGTCAATGATATTTATTATATAATAATTCTCTTATTTAGAATTTAGATTGAAAATATCAAACCCTATTTATTAAGTCGATTGTTTACAAGAATTATTGTATAGTTACAATATTTTAAAAACTAGAATAACTGTTAATAACTGTTAGGGCCCCAGCTATGGTTAAAGAGTTAACCACGAAACTGAAGCAAAAAACATTATGAAAATCTAAAAATAGGTTTTAATGCCATAAATACTTTGTAAAAAACTTTGACCAGAAACAAATATTTGAAGAAAAAAAAACTGTTACCAGTAATAAGTTTTTGAAAAAAAAATATTAACAGCAATAGATTTTTAAAATAATATTACCAGCTATACATTTTTGAGGAAAAATATTTCCAAAATAGATTTTTGATAAAACAAAATATTACCAGAAAAAAAAGCTGTCGGCATTAAATTACCCATTGAGGTTGATATGCCGTAAAACTAAAACCAAAACTTATTACTTGCCATTTTATAAAGTTCAAATCCACTGGCAACCATTCTATTAAGCAGTGTAATAAATATTGTTTATTATTTTTGCTGTCAGCTCCCAAAATGTATAAATTCACTTTCATATGTTTAAGTGTTATTAATATTTTAACCATTGGTAAACATTGCGAAGGGGTAGTCGAAATAATAATGGTGTCATGGTAAAAACCGTCCCTTTTAAACTCAATCTTTGGCACGAAGGGCCAAGTTTGCCAGAAAGTTTAAATTCAAAAGTGTGTTCTGAAATTAGTAGTAGTTCCTCAATTTCCAACTGACAATCTATTTTCTTCAGAAAACGAAGAGAAAAGAATGAATTGTTAACATACCGAGCTATTCAGCAATGTTCGTTACACACATACTCAATTCAATTCTCAGTAACTCGTGTCTGTGTACGCAGGGAGGCTTTCAAATTTTCTTTCCCAAAGAAATTCCCAGCGTTCTAAAAATCCAGTGCTCTCGGTTAAATACCTGGGCGTCAAGTTAATGTAAGCCATTTCTTTCAATTTTCTCCTGACTCGTGTCTATTATTTGGACTGAATCCAAAACGCAATAATGGCAGAATTTAGATCCAACTTCTTCGCTGATTGCCTTGGCTTGATGAAAAAGAAAAAAAAATGTTGCAAGATTGAAACATGGTGGGCTATGAAAAAACAAGGACGACAAAAACAGTTGGACACAAGATATTGATATGCCGTTAAACAAAAATAAGCAAAGCTCTTGAAATTTTTAGAATCATGTATAATATAATAAATACGGTGGAGCAGACTATAAAGTTCATATGAAGGGATTTTTCACCGTAAGGAGAGACATCACTTAAAATACGGGATCATTTAATGATAGATTTATCAGTTTGTACATCCATACTTCAGAAATTCTGTACATAATTACATATACTAAAACAAATCGAAATTCTTTTCAAAAGTATTCGTGGTAGTCAGATTTTAATAAGCTTTACAATATATGATTAGTAAAAAATAGTTTTACTTAATAACAATATTTCCTAAGAATTATCACATTGAAAATGAATTTTAAAAGATTTAAAGCTTTAAAAATTATTCAATTTAAAATTGTAAAAAATGAAAACAAATCTTGTAAAAATTCATTTTTCGTCGAAAATTCTTTTTCTTCAGACAGTATTGTCTTTAATACATATTATTCATAAAAACTATTAAAAAACTCCTTTAATTAAATAATGTCTTACCTTTATAACGTTTATTATTTTTCGATTCAGATTAAATTTTCGCTAAGACCGGTCCGATTTTTCAAAAACAATTCGGTGATTTAAATTCTTCAAAGAATTCTGCTTTTAACTAATATAGTCACTAAAAATTATCACGTTGAATTTCTCAACTTTTCAACAAATTAAGTAAATACATGTGAAAAACCAGGAACTGAACTCACACTCTTTGGGTCCTGTCACTGGATCTAACCAACCTTAAGGACACACGGCACAGTGGATAAAGGAGTTGGGAACATAACTCAAATTTCCTTTTCGAGAATTTTTCCCACTGTGCCATGTGTCCTCAAGGACACATAGCACAATGGATAAAGCCGTTGGTTAGATTCAGTGACAGGATCCAAAGAGTGTGAGTTCAATTCCAGGTTAAGGCAGTGGAGGACTGATAACTGACATCCATTAAACATGGAAGTAGAACAGTCTAACCCAGTGAGCGAAATAAAGGGTTCAGTTCGACATTCCAACTACCTGAAGAATGCCAGAGCGTTCAACGGTTGAAATGTTGTAATAAATATGGCGGCACAAATGAGGACAATAGTCCGAATAATGTAAATAGTGTAGAAGATTGTAGTAGTCAAAAGAACATCTAACATGGGATGCTAGAAAGAGGCAAAATTTAATCTTTATTGATAAATGTAGAATAGAGTTACATTGTAATGTAATATTAATATACAAGAAAAGTAATGGCAAAGTAAATTACAAAGGCGATAAGATTTGGTGGCGGAGAGATAATGTGGGGTTGCATCAAAAGACATGGTAGAACAAAATTGGTAAATGTGAATAGAAATCTAAACAGCGAAAACTATATTAGTTTATTACGGTCTAATCTTCCACCAGACTGCAAAGACGGGGCGGTTTTCAGCATGATGTTGCTCCTTGCTATATATATTACGTGCAACAAAAAAGGTTTCTTGTTGATAAAGCCGTTAACCCATTAACTGCTAATATTTTTTAATGCGCATTATTGGCCCAGACAGGTGTTTTAGGAGTTTATTTATTCTTTATGTCTAATTTCAGTAGTTACCATTGTCGTTTTTATAGAAACTAGAACATCAAATATAAATCTGTATAAAACATCAAAACATAATATTGATTAGAAATAATAAAAAATACTTTTCAAAATAGTCATTATTTTTCTACTCGTGAAATGTAAAATTACGACAGTATCTTCTTACGGCTAATAATAAAAACTTTAAAGGCTAAGTGTTATAAAATATACCTAGCAAAAGCAATTTATGTAAGCAATTCAATGTAAATACAAAGAATAACATGTAGTGAGTTTAATTCTAACAGATCCCTAAATGCTGCTCATGGCAGGTAATGGGTTAAAATGGAGAAATAATTTTCATATCGTATTTTTATTCAATTCATTTTTTGATGATGTACAATGCGTGAAGAAGCGATACTTTAACCCATTAACTGCCAATTTCTTTTAATGCACATTTTTGGCCCAGTCAGGTGTTTTAGGGGTTTATTTATTCCTTATGTCTAATTTCAGTAGTTACCATTGTTGTTTTTATAGAAACTAGAACATCAAATATATATGTGTATAAAACATCTAAACATAATATTGATTAGAAATAAAAAAAAAATTTTCAAAATAGTCATTATTTTTCTTCTCGTGAAATGTAAAATTGCAACAGAAAGTGTCTTCTTACGGCTAATAATAAAAACTTTAAAGTGTTGTAAAATATACCTCTGCAAATGCAATTTATGTAAGCTAGTCAATGTAAATATAAGGAATAACATAACAAATCACCAAATGGGTCTCATGGCAGGTAATGGGTTAAGTTTTTGAAATACTGGAGAGTAAACGGTCCTTGTCTCAATATAATTCAACCCTGTGATGAGAATTGAATAAATAAATTCTTAAGGAAAGCCATGAAATCTCCAAGATTTTTGGGATTACTAACAAAAATAATGGGAAAAATTCTCCAAGAGAAAATCTGAGTTATATTGCACTTTGAACTGAAACAATTATTCAAGTCGGAAACACTAGTTACTTAGGCAGTACGATGACGTGTTCTAATTTCTGTAATAAAACAATCGCTTTTTGCAAAAGAAAATCATTTTTAAATTAATAAAGTGCTGAAAAGTCAAATTTTAGCTGGCGATCCAGTATTTTTGCATGGTCTTTCAACAACACTATGTTTAAGTTGTTCTATCATCCACCATCTAACATTGACGAATGTGCATTAACTTGATTTCTGACCCCCAAAGCCAATAAAATGTACTGAGAAAAATATACAGCTAATCACACTCGATTTGGTGGAGTAGAATTAACAAAAGTAATTAATTTACGAATGTGTCCCAAATACTTTTGTAGACTAGTGTACAGAAGACATCCAAATAAGGAAAGCGTTGCTAACGCCACACTATATGTGATATTTTCACTTGGAGAATCAGCCAATCAGAGTATGAAATCCCTGAATCATGCATTTTAAAATAGTCTAAAAATATATATAAAACATTCTAAAATTATATGAATGGCTGTTCCGTTAATTCTTGTTTCCTGCAGTCAGAATAGAAATCTCAAGGAGTAACAATATGTATTATACATTGTGTTTATGCTGATCAAGATGTGAATGTGATGCAAAATCACCTAAGAGGAAAAAAATCTAAAACATGAAATGTAAAAGGAAGATGATAAGAATTTGGCCTGGAATAGTTTGAAAAAAAAAGAGTATGCCGAGGAAGAAAACAATGTATGAAATTAAATGAGCGAAGAAAGAAGATATTTCAAAAGAAGAGGAAGTTGAACAAATGCTCAGAAGAAGAAAAGAAAGAAGGGAAAAGAAAAAAGAAAAAGCAAATTCAGATTAAAGGAAAGTAAATGCGAAAAGCCGTATGTGACCAGAATAGGTGAGAGATGATAAATCAGAAGAGGAGGAGGAGGAAGAAAGAAAAAGAAAGAGGAGGAAAAGGAAGAGAAAATCATGACGACAAGGAAGCAAGCGGATGAAAAACAAGCAAAAAAAAGACTGTTCTTAGAAAACAGGACAAGGAATTATTAAACATAGGAGAGAATGAAGAATCCCAAACAATTTCTGGCATAATTCTAATAGAGTAGTACTCTGCTAATAATCGGTCTGTGTTGTGAATATATCATCAAATATTAGTCTATCTACTTGAAAGAAAATCAGAAACCCTTTAGGGTTACGAATACATATGAATATATGTGATGAATATATATATATATATATATATATATATATATATATATATATATATATTGTTTAAAATGTACTCTGCTAATAATCTACCTGAAACAAAATCAGAAACAGAACGAATATGGATAAAACTGGAGCTGGAAGCTAATAAACAATTTCTCAGCTCGTTTCCATATTCTTCGTACAGTTGGTGAAAATTTGAATCGCGCTAACACAAAATATCAAAATATTTGAGCGAACACAAAACAATTTTCTCTCGAAGTAATTTCAGCCCAAGTTTACAAATATCAGATGATATTTTTTTTTCTTGCACGTGTCTACGGAAATCACAGTCAGAATAATAAGATTTCCAACTCTAGATTCCCAAGTTACGAAAACCGTTGCCGATAACTGTCTTCGAAATTGCGTAGAGTATTTTATTATAATATTGACTAAAGCAAAACAGATCTCAGGTAACCTTAGTAACATTTGGCAAGGCGAATCTGGTCTATTAAACGTATTTCTCACTTGATAAGTCACTTTAAAAGTTCTAATGGAATTCAGAGCGTTTGATTCTCAATTCTCCGAAGCCGTTAACAAATTTGTAATTTTGGAAGCTCAAGTGTATTCTCCATGAAGTAATTGCATATGAAAATTCATAAACCTCTTTTTTTCAGCCTCTGGCTCTCTTTCTGCCAGTCTTCACCGATCGCAGAGCTTACAAGGCATTCTTTCAAGTGACATCGTTACATACATTCGAAGTTAGCTTGTGTTCGGTATTCTAACCCATATATAAGGCAATATTTTAATCCCTATTTTCAAAGTGGCTGGGAGTTACTGGTGCCACAAATCCTTATGATAAGTAAAAGCATGAAATTAATATATTTTTAAGATTTTCCATTATTTCTGCCTGCCTGCCTGTCTCTCTCTCTATCTTAACGCACTTAGATATAAAAATAAATTCAACCACTCTGCTTGAAATAATTGAGTTTATCCGATAGAGTCAGGAATCGGTGTCAAAGTAAATAAAAGCCAGTATTTCGAATACTGATTTTCAGGACAAACCTGTCGCAGTATCTATCTATCTATCTATCTATCTATCTATATATATATATATATATATATATATATATATATATATATATATATATTTCTAAGATGAGGTATTATGTACACTATTTACATTATTCGGAGTATTGTCCTCATCTTTGTTGCCATATTTATTACTACGTTTCGGCCTTTCAGTAGCTGCCTATATTTCTGAGATGAGGTATTATGTACACTATTTACATTATTCAGACTATTGGACTCATATTTGTCGCCATATTTATTATAATGTTTTCGGCCGTTGTACGCTCCGGCTTTCTTCAGGTGGTTGGAATGTCGAACTGAACCCTTTATTTCACTCACTAGGATAGACTGTTCTAGTTCCACGTGCCATGTTTTAATAGATTTCAGTTATCTCCTCTTAATTACCCCCTCCAAGTTCTCCCCTCTCTTAACTGGTTATTGAACTAAAGGACACATGGCACTGGATCTAACCAATCCCTTTATCCATTGTGCCACGTGCCCTCGAAGAACTAGAACAGTCTACCCCAATGAGCGAAATAAAGGGTTCTGTTCGACCTTCCAACCATCTGAAGAAGGCCGGAGCGTTAAACATTGCAATAAATATGGCGACAAAGATGAGGAAAATAGTCCGAATAATTTAAATAGTGTAAACCTGCCCCAATAATTTAATAAGCGAACACTCACGGCCAAACCCGATTTCTTTCCTAAAATAACATGTTAACCAGCTTAAAAATATAAATATATATGTATTACATTATATTATTTTTATCACTTGTATATCTTTGCTTGAAGCGGCTTCTAATGGAGCGGCTTGGCGATAGAAGACGTCACTGGTGGGGGCGCAGTCCGTTGAGCTAAGTAAACTTGGATGAGTTACACGGCGGAATTATTGAATGAGCGGCACTATATCAATCTGGATTGTTACCTCTTCGTCAGCGAGACCCTTTGGTCTAGTGTGTATGACGCTTTCGTCGTATCGTAATGGTCCGGTTTCGCTTTTTAGTAGTGGATGCGCACTGCTGATGGGACGGCCGTCCAGTGTTTTCGGTATCCTGTTGAGGATTCTTCCAGACTCGATGAATTACTTAATTATTATTTTATATACCAACATAAGCAATTCACCCTAAGCAACGCGGGAGTGCCACTATTATGGAAGGGACTACAGCGAGTGTGAGTAAGGGAAAAGACTGGATTAGAGAAATGGAGGAGTATAAAAAGAAGAACGGGGATAAAAGTATCAGAAGATGTCGAGTGACATTAAATTTAAATTTTTTAAGATTATCGTTATCAGGGAAGCAAATAAGAGGAAGGGAGTTCCACTGTCGGGAAGTGCGATAGAAGAAGCTCTTGGAGTAGAAGAGGCGGTTAGATTTAACTGTTTCGATAGTGAAAGATGCACAGACGAACTAAAATATATATATATATATATATATATATATATATATATATATATATATATATATATATCTGCATTAAACATTTTACCCCAAGGAATGCGGTATCCCACTAGTACGCAAGGGGTTACAGGGAGTCTGAGCGAGTGTTAAGACGCGTGATAGAGGAAAGGATGAAGAGAAGGACAGGGAATACATCAGGGTATCTGGAGATGTCGATTGACATTACGTTTGAACAGATTATACCTATCAGGGAAACAAGTAATAGGAAGGGAATTCCACAGACGGGAGGTGCGAGACATGAAGCTATTGGAGTAGAAGAGACGGCTACCGTGAAGTCAGCCTAGTAGCACGCTTAAATTCACAGAGTCTGGGAACTAGCGAGAGTAGCTCGTCGGAGCAGTTACCGTGAAAGTATTTGTAGAAAAGGCAGAGGGAGGCAACGGCACGTCTGTGAGAGAGCGACTGTAGACGAAGTGCCAGATCAGAACCAACCACATTGCTTATCCGTCTCTGGATTTTGTCGAGGACCTTAACGTGAACAGTGGGGGCACCAGACCATATATGGCAGCAGTATTCCATGCAAGGGCGAATGGTTGATTTATAAATTTGAAGAATGGACTCGGGCGAGAAAAACCTTTTGGCGCGACACAGAGAACCAACTTTCCTTGCGGTGGATGAAGCTATTGTTTCAATGTAATTGTTCCATCTCAGGCCTGTGGACAGTGTGTGACCAAGGAGTCCCAAAGAGGTGTTCTCGTGGAGTTGAGCGTCAGACATTCTAATGGGTGACAGGGATGGTTCCCTATGGTGAGTAAAATAGAGCAGTTTTGTTTTAGAGGCCTTAAAGTTAACCAGCCAATTTCTACTCCAATCAACAACCGATTGGAGGTCCTTTTCGAGACTAACGGCCAGGTTAGTTTTGTCAGCAATGCCAGACTTGCTATTGAGGGAGGAGTAAATATTAGTGTCTACTTAGGAAATCGTTAATGAAGATAAGGCACAGAGTAGGGCCTAGGAATGGCCTTGGGGAACACCTGTGTTCGTGGGAAAGAAACTGGAGGAGAAATCAGTTAAGGCGACCTTCATTACACGTTTTTGACAAGAATGATCGTATTAAGTCAAATAATCGACCTGAAATTCCGTATCCCTTAATCTTACGAAGGAGGTCGGTATCCCAGACCCTATCAAACACTTTAGCGATATCTAGGCCCACAGCACGAGCTTCTCCGTTATTTTCGGCGTTATTTATTGATTGTTTGCTTTAAGATAAGTGTTATTTAGCAAGTTTACTTTATTATTAAAATGTTTATCATAATTAAGAATTATTATATTAAGAAATTTTAATACGGTGCATTTGTTAAAAATTACTTACACATTGGCACTAATAATTTTACTCTATATTTAAACGTAACATTTTTTTCTTTTTATGAAAGAAGGCATAATTTTCGAAATTATGGGAAAATAGTTTTGAGTTTTAACTTATTTATTACGTTTATCTTTCAGTACAGTCGATTACTTGTTCTATCATTTATCATTCAAATCATTTTAACAACATTTGCCGATTATTTTACTTTTGTCTTTTACTTATCTATTGATTGAATACTAGTATTATTTATCATTTAAATATAAATTATCATAATGCAGTTTTAATAACAATAAAAGGTACATTTGACTACAAACTGTTTATTCGGACGTCAAGTATAAAATATGTGTCGAGGGGACATAGAAATAAACAAGAACATTACAAAGATAACAACGAAAACACGTCAAGAAAACCGGAAGCCAAATAATAACAACTGAAAGAAAAGAAAAACGAGAGAGAAAAGATTAAAGATTGAGTAAAAAAAAAAAAAAAAAAAAAGAAAAGGAAAAATAAGCGGCACACTCGACACGTACGCACATACTCAGAAACAAGTGAATGGACGCACGCGCGCGAACGCAGACACGCACAAAAATTCTAGTAAAAAAAAAAAACCCCAAAAAACTGCACCAATAAAAAGTAAATATAAAAAAGAAAATCTACAACAATAAGCAGTCAGTTGGTGTTACCTCTTGACGAGAGAACGGTGTAATTCCCGGAGGGTCCGTCTACGAAAAGTCTGGTGTCGGGATGCTGAAGGTAACATCAATCAGTTAATTGGCAAACCTTTACTCATATACATATATATATATATATATATATATATATATATATATATATATATATATATATATATATTATGGCATTAAAGGCAAGAAATGTTTTTTTACTATAGGCCATGATAAATTTTTAAACACAAACACAAATCGACCGGTTTCGTCCCCTCTCGTCAGAACTGTAAACGGGGAAACAAATTATGAAAAGAAAGTCTGTCGCGGATGATGTGAATGAATAGACAGGGAGAAAAAATAAATAATGAAAGTTATAACACCAAAGCTGCTAGAGATACAAATATATATATATGTGTGTGTGTGTGTGTATATCTATCTATCTATCTATCTATCTATCTATCTATCTATATATATATATATATAAATATATATATATATATAAATGTATACAATGACATACAGAGAATCAAAGCCTGTAATAATAATGGAAGGTGATTCAACCATACCTTGACAGCATGGAAATACCAAGAGATATAGCAGTTGTGCTAACTTTAGGGTGTCATTTGAGTATTGGATATACCTGATGGAAGGTACTGCCATCCACATTCAAGGCAGAAAGCACAAGATATATTCAGCAGGTTAGTTCAATTGTCTTTAACTTACATGGATTAGGGAAGCAGAAGACTAAATAAAATAATCGTCTTAACACCATGAGAACCAAACACAGCTCATCACTAGGACATATGATGCCACTAATTGGGCCCTGGAGGACTGTGATCTGATGAATCATGGTTCCAATTGTTCAACACTGATGGGAGTCTTCAGGTAGACCCCAGTTATCAAGCTATTAATGTAGAAAGTCTACTGATAGCCAGTGTAGCATTTTATGATGTTAAAATTTCCTTTTGAGCTGTAAGGTGACGCTTAAATCTATTCTAAAGACATAGCATGTGAATCCACATTTATTTCAAACACGAATGGAATTTCCATCTTAACAACTTATAAGACTCGCTATCTATTGACCTTTCTTTATTTTTTTAAGCAGTATTCACTCAAAAAACGCTCAAGAGCTACTTAAGGTGGGGGTTACTTTGCGGTGTTTTATGAGTGCTAGAAAAGGCAAGAAGTTAAGTGAATTGGTTTAGGCAAGAAAGATAACAGTGATAGGGTTCAGGTAGACCTCAGTTATTATTCAGGCTGATGGTAGAGTTCAGGTAGACCTCAGTTATTATGCAGGGCGATAGTAAGGTTTGGATAGATCCCGGTTAGCATGCATGCTGATCATAGGGTTCAGATAGATCCCAGTTTTTCTGAAAGCTGGTGGTAGGTTTCAGGTAAACTCCAGTTATCATACAGGCTGGTGGTAGGGTTTGGTTCGATCATAGTTATTATGAATGCGGATCCTAGGGTCAGATAGATCCCAGTTATCGTGAGGGCTGCTATTAGGTTTCAGGTAGATCCCAGGTAACATGCATCCTGGTGGTAGGGTTCAGATAGACCCCAAATAATCATGCAGGCTGGAGGTAGGGTTCAGATAGACCCCAGTTAACACGCGAGGCGTTGATAGGCTTCAGATAGATCCCAGTTATCATGAGGTTTGGTGAAAGGTTTCAAGTAGATCCCAGGTATTATGCAGGCAGATGGTAATGTTCAGGTAGATCCCCGGTTATCATGCAGGCTGATGGTAGGGTTTTGATGAATCTCAGTTATCAGGCATGATGAAGATAGGGTTCAGGTAGACCCCAGTTATCCTGCAGGCCGCTGGCAGGATTCAGGTGGACCCCGGTTATCATGCAGGCTAAAGGTAGTTTTCAGGTAGAAACCGTTAATTTTATGCAAACATTCACTCAATACAACGCCCAAGTGCCACTCAAGGCGGAGGGTTGCTGTGCGGTGTCGAAAAACAAGGCAAGAAATTAAGTAAATTGGTTTAGGCAGGAAACATAACGGTTAGCCTTAGACTTGAAGAGGTTAAGATTGTAGTGATTGGAAAAAAAGATCCTGCCAGTAGTCTATACCACAGAGCAGCAGTTCTTCGAAAGAAGCTGTACGAATGGAACTTATTTTTTACTATTGGAATAAGAGGGGATAGGGATAATTCACCCTTGTGGAGGTGGCATGGAGAGTCCAGGTTGTAAAAGTCAAGGGAGGTGGAGCTAAGGAATATAGATTGTCAGAGCAGATGCCATGAACATAGGGATAGGGCATAGAGAGTCTCAAGACTTTTCGTCTGTGGGAAAGGGCTTGTAGAATGGAGAATGATTCAAAACAAACAAGTCCATGTAGACAAGCAAGTGTGGACTGGGACGTTCGAACACAAATATGACAGATGTAAACCATTACGCTGTACCTGATATATTATTTTATTAAGTTCTTTTATAAGTTTCCAGATGTCATCAGACGAGAAAAGGAGAACATTAGTAAGAGCTTAAACTAAATTACAATCAATCTATCTATCTATCTATCTATCTATCTATCTATCTATCTCATTCTGTTTGTTATCTATATATCTATCGTTTTATTTCAGTCCCTTCGTTATCTATCTATCTATCTATCTATCTATCTATCTATCTATCTATCTATCTCATTCTGTTTGTTATCTATATATCTATCGTTTTCTTTCAGTCTCTTCGTTATCTATCTATCTATCTATCTATCTATCTATCTCATTCTGTTTGTTATCTATATATCTATCGTTTTATTTCAGTCTCTTCGTTATCTATCTATCTATCTATCTATCTATCTGTCTCATTCTGTTCATTATCTCACCTCTTCATTATCTATCTTTTTATCGCAGTCTGTTATTATCTATCTATCTATCTATCTATCTATCTCATTCTGTTTGTTATCTATATATCTATCGTTTTCTTTCAGTCTCTTCGTTATCTATCTATCTATCTATCTATCTATCTATCTATCTCATTCTGTTTGTTATCTATATATCTATCGTTTTATTTCAGTCTCTTCGTTATCTATCTATCTATCTATCTATCTATCTATCTATCTATCTATCCCATTCTGTTTATTATCTATCTCATCCTGTTAATTGTCTATCTATTTATCTTTTTATCTCAGTCTGTTCATTATCTATCTATCTATCTATTAGAAAGAGAAGAATGGCTGACACATTTGAAATAATCATCTCATTTGCTAGGTTATGAGGATCACCTTAGCAGGAGTAGCACAGAAATACAATATGGCAGCCGTTATTAAAGAGCATAAGACGACAATGCTTCAACAGCAGAAGCAGCATCTGAAACAGAAGTCCACCTGAGTGAAGTCAAGCGTGACAAGCATCATCAAGATCAGCAATGGCACTCATCATTAGTTCGCTTTCGTTTAATGTCACAAATTCTCTACTCAGGATTTCTTAGCGGACCTACCCATTGCTTTGCGCATTTGTTGATATTGTCATTGTCAGTTTAATTGCTGTGGATGCAATAAGTGTGCAGGATTTCAGAACTAGACGAGATATTCAGAGACATGGTTAGCAGACAGAAGATCCACCCCGGCCCGACAGATTAAATAATTTTTTCGGTTCGACATTCCCTAAATGTTAGCAGAAAGACAAGCACCTGATAAATACCGGAGAGTTAAACGTTTTGATAATAAAAACAATAGATATTAGGACAATATTTTGCATATAAACAATGGCAATAAGGAAAACACCCCCGAACTGTTGCAATTTTGTCATTGATAGAGACTACCGACTTCCAAACTGCTTCAAACTCTATACGTCCAGACTTGATTTTCGGAGCTACCCTCGGATCCACGGATGAATTGCAAGAAAATGTCATCTTCGGAACTGGAAAACAACCATGATTCCTAAAGTAATATGGTTTAAATGAAAAGTAATTATTTAATTAAAATTAATTATTTCTTATAAATTTAAAATCAGTAACAAAATTCATTATTATTATTTATTATTAAATTTGTTATTAATATTTATTATTAAATAATTATTATTTAAGTAAATTATTAATATTTACGACTTTATGTTAATTAAAGATTTAAATTTCAGCATGGAGATTTAAAAAGGGCATCTAGATAATTCGAGTATTCAATACCAGTGATACCAATAATCAATACCATCAATCGAATAAGGAAACATGATTTTACGATTGGCAGGTAAAATAATGAAAAAATTCCTTCGATATTTGTCCATTTTGTGAAGTATTAGTGCCTGCGCATAGAGAGAAAGATTAATATTATTGATAATTTGAGAGGAAAGAAAAGTGTTTTTTCTAAAAAATCAAAGTGTCAGAAGACATTCTATTCTCGGTTCGTTTGTACGTGGTTTGGTTTTCGGAAAAGTTCTTGACTTGAGCAAAATGTCCATAAGAAAAAATATTTGCTCGAAATATTGGCGAACATTTTGGACCGAGAAATATTCAGCTGCATCTCCACGTACTATTAAAGAATAGGTTGACTGGTCCCAAATAACAACTAGTCAGAGAAACCCCATGATTTGAAATTCTGACAGTGTTGGATTGTCTTTGTTTAAGTTTAGTTATAAGACCAAAAACGTGGGAAGACACTCAATCGGCGACAAGAGGTAGAAGGGTTAACACGCGTCCTGCATCTAAGACCCTTGGGGAAGCAAACTAACACGTAAAGATGAAATATTAGTGAATGGGTTGACACGCTTCCACTCGTAATCTTCAACTCCCTTGTCGATTCTTTGAAATTATGCCACTACTATTGCCAATCATATAATAAAAGGAGATAAAAAGAAAAGAAAATTGATGCTGCCTATGGTGTAGCTTTGGGCGTGAAGATGCTGCCTATGGTGTAGCTTTGGGCGTGAAGATGCTGCCTATGGTGTAGCTTTGGGCGTAAAGAACTGGAACTTAAAATTCGAAACGAAATCGGATAAACTCAGACACAGGATAAATAACAGATTTATTTTGCATTTTATTATAATATTGAATTTAATGAATTTAAGCGTGCTAATAAATTGGCATCTAGGTCCCACCCTTTTACTGTATAACTAGCTAATTTTAACCGCCACTTCTAATCCAACAGATTCTTTTCTCACACTTTCCGACAGTGGAACTCCCTTCCGTTTATTTGCTTCCCTGGAAATTACAATCTTCAAAACTTTAAATTCAACGTCAGTCGCCCTTTTCTTTATTCTTGAATTCCGTTCATCTTTTGTCCTTTCCTCAATCCTTCCTATATTCAGTCTTTTTTTCTCATTTTCACTTCCTCTACCCCCGCCCCGCGTACTAGTGGCATTCCCGCCTTGCTTAGGGTGAATTGATTTAAAAAAAACCTATGAAATCAGAAATAAACAGAAAAATGAAATCTGAAATAAACCAAAAAATAAAAAAAAATAATTCTGTATTATGCTTTGATTATGAAATGAAATTGAATTACTGTATTTCGATGTTTGTAAAATATAAGCATTGAGGCGAACCGTATTTGACAACATAAAAGACATACTCCCATTTCAAAAAAGCATATTCAGGAAATGGTTTTAATGTATTTAAGCATATCATTTTAAAAGTAAAGTATGATTACATCACAGAAAAGAATAATATCACTTTATCTATACCAGAAAACCTCCCTACATATAAAAATCAAACTAGCTGTACAGCTGAAAACAACATAAAAAGTCACAATAAGAAAAAATTACTTACATGAAAGATTATAAAACTTTTCAAAAGAAAATACTATATGAAAATGTAAGCTACCATTACAGTTGAACAGAAGCCAATAGGCAGTTTTACAATGCAGTATTTCCGTTCAGTCACGTGTCTTTCTTTCGTAGTTTTCATCTGTTTAATGATAAGGACATTGAAACATATTTAGGTAGTTTAATGAAATATTTCCTTATCAATAATAATAATAATAATAATAATAATGATAGATAGATAGATAGATAGATAGATGACAATAATATGAAAGTCAAACAAACTGAAAAGCTTAAAAAAAATCACTGACCGCTGGATTGTGGGATGTTCATGTCACTATTGTCCCAGTAATCATAGGCTGGTTGGGGCCTATAAAACCGAACTTAAAATCCTACATAAGGAAAATCGGAATAAAGCCGAGTGTCTCATCTCATCAGAAATCCGCGTTGTTTGGTACTATAAATATTCTGTGGATGGAGTTTGAGGTCGTGCGGTTTGATGGAGAATACCCACAATGCAAGATCTCTGATTTAAAAGGAAAGACCTTTCGAAAGAGAAGAAATAATCAATTGAAATATCCTAAAATCGAAGTCATAAAATTCTCCAAACAAGACATTTTATTCGTGTACTTGATCAGTTGCCACACTTTTCTTGTAATACATAACGGCTCAGAAGGAAAAATCAGTGAGTCGAGTTCGAATACCAGTCGGGATCGTTACATTTACTTACGCGCATATCTGAGGAATATGGGTTGCATAGTAAGAATTCCATCTGGAAAATCACTGTTATTCGCAAAGAATTTAATACAATTTTCTTTCACAAAAATAAATGTAAATTAAGATAAAAAATATAATATAAATTAATATAAATTCTTTTTTCAATCTGAAATATATTTCGACTTTTAATAAACTACAAAGCGTTGATAACCCGTAAAAAATTATTCAATTTAATTTCCTCATCTTCTTCATGATCCTCAGGTTGTCATTTTATCCAAATTATTGCTTAAGCTGCATTTCATGAAGATTTTAAAAAGAATTCTCACTGGAGTATTTTGAAACATTTTTATTCATATGGCGACATCTGACCGGTGTGGCTTCTTAGAATTTCCTCCTTGATCTTTACTTAACATCACCTCATGAAATCCATGTTAAAAATTCTTTTTCCTCTCGTCTTTAAAAAGTTGGTTTAGAACCGCATCAAGCATTCGTACAATATCAATAAAAATCCAGGTTATAAAAGAGCATTACTAACTTCCAACAGAAATTGCAAAAAAAAAAAAACAAGTTTTTCGTAGAAGTTGCAAAAACGTTTTCTCGTGGATGTTGTAAAAAAAAATTGTACAATCATCACAACATGCCACGACCTTCCCTTTTATTGTTAAAAACACGATACCTTTCGACGTTACATTAACAGAAAATGGATAGTACGTTCTGGGGTGTTATTAGAATGTGCATCGATCCTGTGACTCAGTGGGTTTCAAATAAAAAAAGGTCAAAAGTAATTTTATATTATTTGTACCTATTGTTAATGAAAATAAAAACTATTAAATACGTGGAATGTTTAAGTTTCAGCAGTTGGCAAAGTTACCAAAACATTGTGATAATGTTGGAGAGTAGCTGTCAGTTTGTGTGGGGATAGAAAAAGCGTAGATTGCAAACTTACAGTAACGTCGCCACATAGTTACATAACTCTCATCCAAAATATAACGTTCTGCGACGTTAGCCGGGGACAATTTGGCAGGTTCTGTATTCTTATAGTTTCTGTTTGGTGTATTTAGGAAAGTGCGCCGGAAATGGATCATTAATAATAATGATGGTTTATCAAATAATTTGATCTTTCTTGCATAGCATTTGCATCAATAGTGAACTACCATCCTCATGCATCAGGGAATACTTTTTTTTTATTATTTCAAGTAAAACAATAATCGCGCTAAGATGCAAGGGGCTACTGGGAATCTAATAGAATGAGAAGACTTTCCTGAAGAGGAAGGACAATAAAGATTTCAGTTAGACAAAAGATGGCGATTGACATTGCATTTGAATTTTTGAAGATTGTAGGTATCAGAGAATCTGGAGGAGATTTTCAAGAGGGGACATAAAAGAATTAGATTAGAACTTATGGTTATATATAGCTCTTTCAACAGTAAAATGATGAGACCTAACAGCCCATCTAGTCTTACGCTTAAATTCACGTGGTCACGATATCAACAAAGAGAGCTTATTAGAACAACTACAATGGAAATATTGACAGGAGAGATAGAGGAAATACGTTTTACTATGTTGGGAAGACGTCAGATCAGGAACGTTAACGTTAGAGGTTCCTCTTTTTATTTTGTCGAGATGCCGGACCAAATGTGACAGTCATATTGAATGCATGGACGAATGGTAGATTTATAAATGTACAAGGTGGATTGTAAAGAGAAAAAACTTCTAGTGCAAATAAGTGAGGCAACAACTTTAGCTGCCAACCT